ACATTAAATTATGGCCTGTAACGGCCAACTACTCAGATGACAATGTTTTTTTTTGATGAAACTCGGTTGAATGGATAGCAACTGCCTGTTGTAGAAACACAAGTGTAGAGAACGACATTTTGGAAGTTTTCTGCCTTTCGTCTTCAAGCAGAAGACTTTCGAAACATCGTCCTCTACACTTGTGTTTCTACAACAGGCAGTTGCTATCCATTCAATTGAGTTTCATCATGAATGCTCTGCCTAAGTAATCTATCAAAGAATACAAATTTTTTTTCAATTATATTTTTAAGTCTGTTGCATTTAAACAACACACGTTTATAAGAATTTATTTATTGAAAACAAACTATAATTATTAGATATAAAATTAATCTCAAACAAAAACACTGTTGGCAAAATATCACATTACAATGCCTGACGAAGGTAATGGTTGCATCACCTTACCGAAATGACAGTTTTTTTTTTTTCACAGGTGAATCTTTGTTAGTTATACCACATTTCTATAATTTACAGCAGGAAGTTGATTCCTTCAACCATTAAAATCTAAAACATGTAAACTGATTACCATTAAACAACTTCAAACTTCTTCTCCATAACAATCTTAATCCCAACTAGTTTGGTGTTAGCCTATAATTTTGGATGCAAAAAATGTTTACACCCAGGCCCAGACAGTAACTATGTAGAACAAGCATGTTCAGTGATGGGAATTCAAACTCATGACCGTCAGATTGTGACTCTAGAGCCCTTACCACCAGACCAATTAAGATACTTCAAACTGACTGGACATAAACTTCCAGATTAGTAATAGCAAATAAAGTCTTAATATGAAAGGAAGAATTATCTTTTCTCAAAACAGTGTTTCACTTCAAAAGTTCAGACAGTTCATAACCTAAAAAACATTACAATACTAAATCGAACTTTAGGAATTTTTTTGTACAAAAAAACTACACTATTTAAAAAGTTTGTATCAAGTTTCACTAGGAAAACATAAACAAATAGTGAATGTCGGTGGTCCCATCCCCCTCTCCTCACTGTGGTTCTTACCATTTCACGTAACAGTTCACATGCGTTGTACAGTTTATATGTACCATGCTACACAGCTTCTTTATAATGGATGTGATGGTGAATTTAGTCATCAATTCATCTAATTATTTCCAATATAAATTATAGCTAGCTAAGAGATGATGATAGTACCTGGGCCGTACTATGGTAGTGCAAGCGGTGTGTTTGCAGAGGATACCAACTCGACTGGGGGTACTGATTGTCCAATTGACTAACAACGCAAATTAATTGGTTGGGTGGGTGGGGGGTACCAAATTTATATGTCCCATCAAACACTGGTAATGGCACTGGATAACATCCTATTCCCAGCGAGGGGAGCTGAAATTGACAAACACAAAATTAAGTGTTGTACTCTATATCTTATGGGCACATATACTGTGGTATTTAGAAAGTGAATCAAATTTGATAATAAACTCTTTTTGTGGCACACAGGGGCTACATACAGGGAAGGTTCAGGCACATTTTGGGGTAGCTTCAGCCCCAGAAAGCCTCCCTACCAGTGCCCATGTAGCTAATGTTGGTTTCTTTAATAAAGGATAAACATTGGGGTAACAATTGAGTATTAAATTTTTGTGTATAATTTTATTACAAAACAACGATTGGAAGATACGTTACTTTACATAAAATCACTTCAGTAAATATCCCTGCACAACGTGTTCCTTTTCTGTCAGTGTAACGTTTACACAATTACCACCAATTCTCTGGGAAGAACACCTGTTATCTTCAAGTTAAAAAATATATTCAACGTACTCACCATGTCTTCATTTTTTTGTCTTTCTTTTTCAAGTTCTTGGTTAAGTTGTACTATCTCGTCCATTGCTTTCATCAGTTTTGAGTTATCAGAATTCTCATCCAACAACACTGCACTCTGTCTAACCAAAGCATTCCTTTCTCGTTGGGTCTAAACATGTGTAAAAATATACAAGGAATATCACCATACAAAAGGAAATACTCCAAGAAAAAAGCAATAATTTTTAGAAAAATTAAAATCCTGATTACTTTCATTTTATATCTAAAGTACTAAAACAATCGGTTTTTATTTTCTATCAAGCTATGTCTTCTAGATAATGTCGACTGTATTGATTAAAAATATGCACGATTAAATTCTAAGTGTGTCATCAATGTTAGGACTATTAATTTTGTGTAATAATAGTTTATCATATATCCAAGCTTTTAAAATTATCAATATATGAGACTGTACATAAAAAATAAATGTATAAATATTTTCAATCACAGCTTTTACAACTCTACATACAAAACACAGAACACTTTCTCACACTGTTACACACAAACACAAAGTGTTCCGTGTTTTGTGTGTAGCAGTGTGAGAAAGTGTTCCGTGTTTGTGTGTAGCAGTGTGAGAAAGTGTTCCTGTAGCAGTGTGAGAAAGTGTTCCGTGTTTGTGTAGCAGTGTGAGGACACAAACACGGAACACTTTCTCACACTGCTACACACAAACACAGAGCACTTTCTCACACTGCTAGACACAAACACAGAGCACTTTCTCACACTGTTACACACAAACACAGAACACTTTCTCACAATGCTACACACAAACACAGAACACTTTCTCACAATACTACACAAACACAGATCACTTTCTCACAATGCTACACAAACACAGAACACTTTCTCACAATGCTACACACAAACACAGAACACTTTCTCACACTGCTACACAAACACAGAACACTTTCTCACACTGCTACACACAAACACAACACATTCTAGCATACACATGTGCTGTTAAGAAATATTCTGACTTATAAACAAATTATTTTCTCAAAGGAGAGTTTCAACAAATTTCCTTTGTAATAAAAAACATTAGACATTATTTATCCAATTAGAAATAATTTTCACAATTTTAAAGGAAAAGTATATTGTACACTAGTTGCTTGAAACAATCGTCGTTTCACAATTTGAAATCCCTTTCCTTTTGGAATAATCCACATTTTAAACTGAAAGTTTAGTACTCATTCTTAAAAATACTTCAATCATTAATTACAAGTCATCCTCACAAAACATCAGCAGTAATAAAAATATTATAGACTGACATATTACTTTTTTGGCTCGACTGTCGGCTATTCTAGCTTTCTCGGATTCCTCTTGATAGAGCTGCTTTATTGATACAAACTCCTCTGCAGCTAGAACAGACACTGTTAGAAGAAAAAACAAAAGTAACATACCTTCAACCAATATGTAGTTTCTATTTAATTGCATTGACTCGTCAAAAGTTTGAACTGTAGTGAATCTGTAAGTTTTATTACAGAAATGTTTGTTTGTTCAACAATTTCTTTCATCATTACATATCTAAACAAATGCAAGTTGTGTTTACAAAACACCCATGTTCGCACTAATGTCTAATGTTTAAGTCCTCCCAATTTGATGACCCCAAATTGACCTCTATAGTTTCCATAATATAACTGCTGATACGTTTTGCGTACCTTCGTGAAATTTTACAAGCTTTCAGGAGTCGCTAAATCATTTGTAGACAAAAAAAAATATATCACAATTTTTAATGAAGTATTTTTACTAAAAATTTCCCCATGAGCATATGGTGTCAAAGTGTTGACTGCTCTGAGTGCAAAGTGATTTTCATGTTAAGATTAAAAATATCTTTAATTACTTGAAAAATCTCAAATTTTATTTGCATGTTATCCAAAACCTCCTAAATAAATTTAAAATGTTTTTTTCAGTAAAACGTTATATTTTATCTACTCTAACTATATACAAGGTTGATGAATCTGACTAATCTCGCAACCACCAAAAAAAAAATTAATTGAATCTGAATTACCCTTTTTTTTCTTTCTAGAATGACTTCAAATTGTAACATGAAACTACATTTGTTTATCTTAAATAGCTTTAAACTGGGAACAGTATACATCTGTTTATACTTAAAAATTATTGTTTTATTACCCTTTAAACAGTGTCTAACTTATATTTTTACCATATAAGTAGTAAATCACTTGGTGAATATGTAGTTCACATTATCCTACTTAACACATAAACTACTCGAAAGTTGTTTACGAGCATACCATGAATTTTTTTTTTTATTATTATCATCATTTATTGTACCTAATCTAAACCTAAAAAGTTTCTAATTTTTACATTTTAGTTACTTTTATAATAATAAATAAAGAATACACATGAAAAACAAGAAATAAAGTACTTACTTGGATCTTCTTTTTCTGCTGTCGAATGTCAATGAAACCCCAATTTTTATATTAATGGTACAACTGCACTAAATAATTTTTATTTAATTAGATAATGAACCAAAGCACAGAGGATAATAACATGCAAAAAGCAGACAATGTCCCATAACTATCACAATTTTTCTGGCTTTCTGACTATGTGGCAAGAGCTGTTAAAAAACATTCAGCCACGATCATTGATGTGTTTCCCCTGGGAATAAAGTTTGAACTGTAAGCAAAATAGACAATTCTCTGTACAGAGAACAACATAATATAATACATCATTTGACGGATTAAAACCTTGGCTTTCTATTGGTTATACATAATATAATATTAAATATCAAAGAGAACTATTGGTAATTTGTGAAAGAGAGGATTTGACAAGTGGGCGTGGCAAGAAGTGGTTAGTTTATAGCTCTGTAACCAAATAAGATTGAAGGCTATTAAAATTATGCTTTGACTGAATGATGACAACATTATGATGAGTAATATATGTTAAATTTCATACTTTTTGGAGAGGTGGTAAGTAAATTAGAGAAGAGGGGATATTTAGAGAGCAAAGGCCACAATTCTCATACTAGAGAAAAATTGAGAAATTTATTTTAAATATTGCCTTATAAAATTAAGGACTTAAAACTTATTTCATATTAAAACTTTAAATATTAGCCATGTTTTGATGCCAAGTTTATTTGTATGTCATGATAATAAAGTACTTTAATTAAAATTTGAATATAAATCACTAAAAACCTCGTGACATGTGCAGAAAAAGATGCCCATAGCAAAAGTGTTATATAAACTGGGTCGAAATCCATTCATCCAAAATTTAGACATTATGTACAGAAGATTGAGGTGGATTTTCTACGTACCAATAATCTTTCGATCTTGACCTTTTACCCATAACCTTCAAAAGTTAATCAGTTTTAGAACTTTGTATGTAGTAACTGTTGTATAAGTTTGAACAAAATCCATCCAATCTTTAGATATCCTGTCCACAAGAATGGAATGGACAGGGGTAAACAAGTGGTGGGACTTAATAACACCATTCACCATGGGATGGAAAATCTGATAAAAATGTTATTTTGTTTCTATAATATAAATGTTGCACAAATGTTTTTTTTTTAAATAAATAGATATGCATTATAAAAAAATTAATCCCCTTTCTCGGTGAATGAACTTCAATCAAGGTCACTTTGCATAAACTTAATTTGATTCAAACAAGTAGAGAAAAATTCAACAAACTTGCATGGAATACAGAGATAAACTAAAGTTAAGAAAGGAGCCTATGTTGTATTTTTCTAGCCGAGTCAAAGTATTTACTGCACGGTGCCTAATACACTAGATAATCATCCCTGTAGAACAAAAGCAAAACACAAGAGCTGTTAAACGTTGTATTTATACAAACACAAGACTATTGTGAGATTGAGTAAAAATTAAAAACAGTTTTACTTTACCTTTCTTGAACTGATCTAAAGTGGACTTAAGTGATTTTAACTCTGCTGATATTTCATTACGGGCTTGTTTTTCGTATTCATACTGAAAAAAAGGGAGATATTTCATGGGTCAAATAGAAAAGTAATAAAGCCAATTTCCCAAAGAAATCAAACAACTAATAATAAGCTACAGAAACAACTAATCTTTCTAAGAGAGCTATTAAAAGTTTAAAGAAAATGATATACACTCAAAAAAGTCCAGTTTCCATGGCAGAACAGAAAACCTAGAATTAAATCATAAAATCCCCTCAAGATCGTTATTTCTATTAAAACTGAGAGAGTACTTTATTCTCAAGATCACTTGGCTGTTATCAGATGCTTCACACAAATTAAGTTATGAAATTATGGTTTTGAGAATTACAGTTTTTAGCCCAGGATAGATAATCTTAAAGTGAGGCTTTTTTTCTCATTTACAATATAAACAAACATCGTATCTCACATAGATTAAATCATTTTATGACATTTAGTTTTTACAATAGACCATTTTAACATCTAAAACACTGAGAATATGTCCAAGGCTTGACTGTGAAAGTAAAACTGAGACAAAAATGTAGTATCAAACTATCACAGCTATGAGTATGGTTCTAACAAGCACAACACATTTTGACAAATGCTTAAAATAACAGTAAAAAATGATAAAATTTTACAAGGATACATATTGAAGCTTTAGCTAACAGCAGACCCAATAGAGAAACTTCAATCATCTCAGTTTACGTTTTTACCTTTCCAGTTAAAGATTGAACTGCTTCTGTCAAGTCCAGTTCCTTCATCTTAGCATTTTTCAGCTCCGTTCGTAAAGATGCTACTTCTTCTGTAAGTTCTGTAAAACAAAAATAAATATCAAGTGTGAGCTTCAAGTCTGTACATTTCTTGGTTTACTGTTGCGTGTGAATTATACCACAAAGTTCATTAGGAGATTTAATTAACTGATCATTAAAAGCAGCTTCTAAACACAAGAAAACTCAACAATGGAGTCTAAATGATGATGAAAAACATTATGTCTAAATCCACTCTTATTTAAAGCAACAAGGTTCTAAAGTAAATAAATATAGGTTAAAATTGTTATTAGGGTGTAGTTCAAAGGTAAAATAAAATCACAATACAATGTATAATAGATCAGTACTTCGGTACTATAAAAAATTATTCTCGATTTTTTTTTGTTTGATATTTTCAATCTGGAAGGCACCTTATACAAACCACAGAATAAATGGCCAATCAGAGCCGCTAGGGTCAGATGTAGCTATCCATAATATAGAACAGTTGCCAAAAAATGAGGGCAACCAATCAGAAGCATCTACCACTTGTGAGGCTACTCTTAACCAAATAACATGATTGATAATTCACCCACAGCTTAAAATGTGGAGTGTTTAGTGACATACTGGGGTTCAAACCTAAGACTTGGCACACTAAGCATTAGGTGATGCTCAGTCTAAACTTCTTATTAAATGACTTACTCGTGGCACACTAATCATTAGGTAATACCTAGCTCATACTTCCTAGTAGAGTCACTTACTGCTTATATTAGACTTCAATAACTCTTTATCTTCATCTTCTTCGTCTACTGCTCCCACAGCACTAGTTGTATCCAAAGAAGCCATCTCTTGAATATCTACTGTGCCCAAGTCCATCACTTTCTGCATCAACAGCGTGGATTTTCGTTTCAGAGATCTATTTTCTCTGTACCACTGCAAGCAAAAATAAAACACTAATTTACACAATGCTGATCGTCAAAGGAAAATGAATCCGTTACTTAAATATATCACGTGTGTGTGTGCTGTGTTTAGTTGTAGCAAAAAAATTTGAAAAAACACCAGTATTCAATATTTACAATTCCCTAAAGATCTTAAGTGACATTCTTATCGTTTCTGTTTGTGGTCAATTAATCCAGATACATATCACGTTTTTTAAATACTCTTCCATAATGAAGAACATATATGAAGTCTTTGGTATAAAGAAAGTTATATGTCTGTGAAGCCTAAAAAAAAAAAAGATAAAATCTGATGCTATATCTTCATTGGTATTTCTCCAACCTCACCTATTATCACTGACTTTAGTATTCAGCAACTTAAAAGAACAAAAACGAAGACTGAAGTACATAACTAGTGATTTAATTTCCCAGACAGAGAACAGTGAAGCCAAAAGGTGCTTCTTATATCGAATATACATATATCAACTGTTTCCAAATAACTGAAAGAGCTACAACAACAACAAGCAAGATAGTTAACATAGGAAAAAAAACCAAACTCTCAACAGAGTGAAACAAATTAGAATGAATGAAAGGATTTGGTTAGTAAGCTGTATTTTGTAGCAAAAAAACTTAAAAAAAATCATCAATAAAGCATAAAACCTAGGTAATGAATGCAGGTGTAAGAAGAACAGTCAATCCCAAATTTACAAAACATTTATTAGGTTTCATTCTAAAATCACTATGTGAATAGTTTTGTAACTGTTATGTGGTCAACCTCGTCTATTCTGCAACTCGTGTGACTACCCCACACTTAATTGTAAACTACAATACTCCTCACAGCTAAACATTGAGTTCTGCATTTTTTTTTATAAATTAAGATGCCTACACACTTCATGAAGCTTTACAACTTGCTATTGATATATACTTTAACAACACATGAACAGTCGTTACGGTGTTGTCATGGTGAGAAGACTTCGTAAATACCAGATGATATCGGGCTCAAGTAAGAGATGAAGAACATGTTATAATTACAGCAATGTACATAATTCAACTTTATAAGTACAAGAAATGAGATGAAACATTAACATAAAAATATCCTTTTGATTAACCACTGCTGACTAAACTAATAACTTTCCGTCGTAACTAATTAAGTATGTGTTTTAAAGATGCAATATTTTGATTTCAAAATGTTTAGATTTATCAAAAATGACCAAATTTCCGTTTAAACAGTTTGCTCGCTCTTATAAACATTTTTAATTTTATATCATAAAGTTTCTCAACCATTTTAAATGGTTTTAGAGTTGATAAAGTAAATATGAACATAGGTGTGATAATATTGCACAATCAAGTTTTAAATTTTCATAGAATGGTACAAAATATAAATGAAAGCAACTTTCGGACGTTTTCTCCCAGATGAGAAAGATCCAAAAGTATTTAATTCATAACTCCTTTGAAATGTTCACAAAATAATTACTGCTTGGTTTGATGTATAACAAACCTTTGAAGCTCTTTTTATCACTTCATTGCTGGCTTCTGTCTGAACATCAAGCTGGTTCTTCAGTGTTTCATGTTCTTTCCAAGCTTGTTCGACACCTATCATAAATTAATATTATCTTCTGATCAAAGCAAGCTACCTACACAAGTGAGAACTAAAATAAGCACAAACACAGTGAAACATCTACATCCTTGAAAGAGATAAATATTTCTAATTCACTACTTAAACTCTGATGATACAAAACGGGCAATATTATATGCATGTAAACATTATATTAATATTAAAATTTACAAAAAGAACTTCCAGTTTTGAAACTACAATGTGAAGAATGCTCATAAAAATTTGACATCAATATTAAACGTTATTTAACACACCAAATAAATTATAAACATGAGGATTACTTACAGATTTTCATGTGTAGGAGATATGAGATTAGCTTTAAATTTTGAATACTTAAATAAATGGGTTCAATAAACAAAGTTAACCCTTTGGTGCAGCAAGCGGATTTATCCGACTTGACATTTATAGCTGTTTTGTGACACCGTGGGATAAATCCACTTGTTGCACTAAAGCTTTTCCTCATAGTACGACAATTGGGATACTCACATGTCCTTGAATTGCCTGCCTTATTACCACTTGCGGGTACATCACCGATTAAAGGTGAAACTAGTGGATTTTGATATTGAGAAAGTACTATAAATAAGGTCAGATTCTAAATTTCATTTATCAGTGGATAATTGACACTTTTTGAGAACCCACTCGAAATTTAATTACGTACTCAAAGGGTTAAGGGGTCTAAAAAGTGTTGCGTTAAAGTTATATATCGGAATGAAAAACCTTTATTTCAAAAAACTGTTTTTGATTAAGCATATTTAAGTGTTATATATTACAAGAGATAAAGACAAATATCAACAAATAAAAACATATTGTACCTTATGTTTTGTACTATTAAAAGCATGACACTAAATGTGCATGCATTAGTGTCAAATATAGGCAAAAAGACACTTGAACCCACCTTCTTCAAACTTCTGCACGAGTTGTTCCTTTTCTTTGTAATTCTTCTTCAAAACTTCGTACTTAAATAAAAATTACATGACATGAAACTATCACTATCAGAACCACAGTAAACAAACTTTGTATGTGCTGTGTAATCACTTAGAACTATATATAAAAAACTTGCAAAAAAATCCTTAACAGAAGTTATGAAAAGTGGAAATATTCTCTAATAACCTTTTGTTTAACATTTCTGTTTTTCAAAGAGTATTAAGATAATTTTATACAATACAATACAGTCTGGTAAAAAATGAAAAATTTTCAAGAATGTGAAATGAAGTTTAAATTTTCTTGTACATGCTTTTAATAACAATTCTATTTACTTGATATATTATCTAGTCCTTAAACTAAATATAATCTGACAAACACATATCAGAAGAGAGTGATTATTTTTTTTTTACAGAATGTTGGGAGACAGGAGTAATTATTCTATTAAGAGGTTTGGTAATGGTTCAAGAACTACTTTCCAGTGTGCATTTTGAACGCAGGACTTCCGTTAACATAATTTAAAGGTGGTTAATATGAATTTTTGTCTGAAATATAGAAAAACTTGATTACCCTTTAATTGCTTTGAGAAGTTTATTTTTAGAATTAAACGCAAAGTTCAATTAATCATTCGTAATTTATTTTCTAATAGTATAACACAAATAATAATATTAGAAATTAAACGAACAATATTAACACCGTTTATACGTTAAAATTGACAAAATGTACACAGTTATTAATGTTGAAACAAATGCAATTAGTGAATGGTCCATTCTTATTAGTAACTTGTGCTGTTTCTACTTGTAATCAGTGATGTTAAATAATGGTTTAACCCTATTTGCATGGATGGGGTGGGTGGGTCAAAGTGCATATGCCATGCCCTTTTGCAGGGTGACATTGAACAAGGTATTATGAATGTGATGTCAAAGTTACCAACTATTTATTTAACCCCATATTTTCCAAATACATTTGTTTTGTGTACAACAAACTTGTACATTTTTACTAAAAGCTTTTCCCATTTCGCATAGATACATGTAGTAAGCTCGGAGTTATGGTCAATATTCCTTCTCCAATACATAACTGGTCCATTGGACTGACTCCGTGCACACTGGATTAAGCTGTTGTTGACCAAATATGATAAAAATGAAGGGGGAATGGATGTAGGAGACGAGGAATTTTTTCCTTCTATATGATTAGAAATGTTCAAATATTTAAACAAACCCATACTCTCCAGATGTCAGTGAATAAGTACTGTATTCTTTATTCACGAAGGTTGGTTTCGTTTTAAACCTGAAATTAACTCTTTTCTCAAACACCAAAAGAAAATCAATGAACAGTGTAGATTTTGTTTACAGCTGTGCAATTTAATCAAAAATAATCAATTATCTATGAGTAGAAATTACATTAATTAGTGTCACTTAAACTAATCACTTAATTTAAAGTAAGTGTTTCTAATTATTACTGTTTTGAAATATTCCAACAACCAATTAATCAAAATTATAATTAAATCTACTGTTACAAAAATAATCAACTGATCAAAAGATGCTATTCACTTTGTGGTGGTGTAAGTTGTAATATAAAATATTCCTGTTAGATAAAAAAAATCTCAGTCTATGGTTATTAGATAACAAATCCCGGCCCACGGTTGTCAGATAACAAATCCCGGCCCACGGTTCTCAGATAACAAATCCCGGCCCACGGTTGTCAGATAACAAATCCCGGCCCATGGTTTTTAGATAACTCCAGTTTAATCAGTTACCTACCCAGCTCATAACTCATACAGCAACTCAGAAATTCCCTTATCTTATCCTTTTTTGTGCCAATAAAGCTGTAAAACAATCTGTGTGGCTTTAAACATTTAACCTTTTGACCTACAAGATCTAAAAAGCAAGTCCATAACAACCTAATTATACTATGTTTTAGTAAAATATGGTAACTTTTGACTTTTCAAACCTTTCAATGAGCTCTTAGTTACAAGGATATCTACACTGTACTATCCACATTTCATAATGTGTTTATTTTGAATGTAAACATCAGTTTACTGTGGACAGTACTGGTTAAGCTTAGCCTTTCATTAATGTACATTGTGTATTTAACATAACTTGTTTATGGTTAACCAACTTAAACTATGCTAATGATTAACCAACCTAATTAGCATAAATTATGTTAACATTTAATAATGTGTATATTTTGAATATGAACATCATACAGTTTACTATGGATAATACTTGTTAAGCTTAGCCCTTTCATTTCATGTACACTGTGTATTTAGCATAGCATATTAGTAGTTAACCAACTTAAACTATATTAATGATTAACCAATTTAACATAAATTATGCTAATGATTTAACCAACCTAATTAGCATAAATTATGCTAATGAATACCCAATTTAACATAAATTATGCTAATGATTAACTAAACTATCTAACAAAGTTTTCTAATGACTAACCAAGTGCTAAAGAAAAGCTATTAATACCTGTTTCACGCTTGCATGGTATCTTTTCTCAAGTCCTTCATAGTCACTAATAACTAGAGTGGAAAAAAAAAGTCAATATTTATGTTTCTGCACTACACAAAATTCATTGCGATTTCAGAAGATTCCTAGAAATATGCTTTTGAACTTTTTATTTTTTCAAACGGGGTTATTGTCATATGGAATGAGTTGCTGTCATCTTACACAAGTTTAAAAGGGTAGTTGATAATTTCATGAAAAGTAAAGTGTGGATTTGAGTTTTTCTCAAGGAGAAAAGTTTTGTAAAACTTTTGAAAAGTTCTCAAGGAAACTGTCATCCCTACTACGTTGTTTTTGAAGGATTGATATTAGCCAGCTCTACATTTACTTCCTCTTTCTTGAAAAGTTTTTCTTTTTTACATAAAAACACCAATTTTTTTCATAATTTCCTTACACTGAGTATTGTGACAGGCAGAAGCATGAAATTACTTAGCTTACAGATCCCATTAATATGAATGGTATGTATAAAAACAAGTTAACAATTAGATGGTTAAGATTTTAGATAGGTGAGACAGTACCAGCTGTGGTATGTGGTGATAAATCTGTGAAATAAATTACCATCTAGAGTGGTAAAAGTTCTAACTTTGCAAGAGTTTAAGAAAAGGGTTGATGGATATCTGAGCTGGATTTAATGCTTAGTGTTTGTTTGTTGAGGGATGTTGGCAGTTAGTCGAAAGGATTCTCAATGTTTCATAATTTATAAGAATTTACGATGCTGGACTGACAGTGTGATGGTTCTGTCTTACCTGCTGTGTATGCTTACGTGGAAAAGATGAAGGGTACATTATTGTAACATATAGACAACAAAGGCTGTTCCTGTACAAAGTATCATCCCTACATAATAGCACAGGCACACAGTGTAGTAAAATGTTAACAGACATAAACAGCATGAATTAAACTCGATTGTGATTGAATAATTATATATATATATATATATTGCTAAATGTTAATTCTTTTCTATGCTATTATGTAGAGATGATCCAAATGCCATCCCTTACTGACTTGTTTGTATTAGGTATGAATGATCGGAACTTGTGTATTGTCTAAACTTTAATAAATAAGTAAAATCAACCTTTCATATTTACACAATTTTAGAAACTTTACTGAAGTTGTCAATGGCTTTCACTTAAAAATAAATGTTTCAACATCCTCTTGGTCTTCAGGAGTTATCTGCAAGACATACTAATTTATAATTTTTTTTCCTGCCACATGATATTACATTCCATTGCTATTTACATCCTTTATATTACATCATGCCAAATATCAACGTACTGACTCGATGACCCTTCACCTCTGTTTAATACTTGTTTTTGTTTATTAAATTTTATTATTTATAGCGATTCTCCGACATTTAAACTGTAATATCATAAGGTTGAGCTAAAATTATTTTTTTCCTGTAAAATTTCTTGTGCTGTTTTTATGTGTTCTGCTATAGCTAAGTTTTCTATTTTATTATTTCTTAAGTAACCTTTATGTTCCTGTAATCTGTACTTTAAATTCCTTTTACTTTGACCAATATAAATACTCCCACATTCACATTCTATTTTGTAAATTCCAGTTTTATCTTATAATTTATTTTATCTTTAGTATTCCCCAACATTTCTTTAATCTTATTTATAGGTTTCAAGATGGTATAAAAGTTTTGTTGTTTCTTGAAAGCTTTAAATAATTGATCGGTTAATCCTGGAGTATAAGGTACACTTAAAAGTTTCTTTTTTGGTTTTATCATAAATAGATCTTAACGTGATATTTTTAACTCAAGTTAAACATTTGTTATATTTCTGGAATGCTCTATCAACTATATTTGGTTCAAATCCTCTTTCAACAGCTACATATTTAATTAATAACAATTCCTTACAAAAATCTTGAACATATTTTTAAAGCTCTGTAAACATATGAAACGTTGATTTTAATTATTTATTAAGTTCTTGTTTTAATGCTTTTGAAGGATTCATATTAGCCATCCTTATATTTACTTCCTTTTTAGCCGTGGCACAGCGGTTCATAAAATGGCTCTGAGTTTTTTTTTTTTCAAGTACAAACTTTTAGCTCATAGCTCCATCTCTTGATCGATTTGAGATCTAATTACATCTGCAACTATTGAGGATTCCCTCTTGTTTGAAATGGTTTTCTTTACTTGTTGTTTTATTTAATGCAGTGTTTTAATACACATAGGAAGGTTGTATTTATAACCAAGTTCTAAATACAATGAGGTTCCAACTGTAATATTATTGTTTATCTATTAGTGGCTGGTAATTCCTGTTTCACCCTGTACTTAAGCTTCTTAAAAGAACACCAAATTTTTGAGAGAAAGCTAACTTTAAGGGGTAATGATAACATCGTTTACACTAGAATTGTGATTTTTTTTAATTACTACTACTTAATAATAATACTTATAAAAGCAGATACTCCATTTGAAGCTATGTAACCTCAGTGAAATTGCTTGACATCATTATTTTGGTTGTTATCATGTAATAAAAAAAAAGAAGCAGAAGAAAGAAGAAGAACAAGAAATTCAAACTTTTTGTTATGATAATTACAGACATGTACAGAGTTATTACACAGATGTTGCTATAAAAGGAAACACTGGGACTATGTTTAATAATGATGGTGTTTTAGTCTACATATCTGTGTGACTCCTTTGTTATTAGGACCCTGTTAACAACAAAAGTTTTGAAGACATACAAACAACTTGGTGAGCATGAATGTCATTGTTCTGAATACTTCAATTACATTATCCCCAAACCTTCTTATTTCCAGAAAAACAAGAAATCTCATTCTGTCCAACTCAGGAATCATCCTTGTAGCCTTCCTTTGAACCCTCTCCAACAACTCAATGTCCTTCCCAGAACTGTCAAAAAAATACTAAAAATAAGGAAAACCAGTGATTAATGTCTTGCTTTAGACTCACTGTCAATATTCCTATAGATACAATCCAAAATTCTGTTAGATTAACTCATTAACTGCGGATGACGGATATTTCCGTCATTGAAGTTCTATGGCTCAGCTGTGAATGACGAAAATTACAATTTTATTGTGATTGATGGCAATTCAGTTTTATCTGCGAGTCAGAAAATGGCAACCGAGCTGGTCCTGTCACAGTTAATGGGTTAATCACTGGAAACAGAAAACTGGTTTGAGAGTTGTATCAACCAATACCCCAAGATCATCCTCCTCATTCACATAACCAAGATGATTCCTATTGTAATTACACATGTAAAATTTATATTCTGATAATCAATGTCCATAACCTTAAATGTATCTTAATTAAATGTCTCAAGTCATGTGTTTGTCCAAGTTACAAACCAATCTAAGTAAGCCTCTGTAGGAAACGATAGCATCCTTATAGCAGCTAGCCAGATCTAAGATTTTTATATAATTAACCACTTTCCTTACTACGTCCCTATTAACATCATTAATGTAAATGGTCCTAGCACAGAACCACATTAATACAGCTGAATTTTGCTTCCTCCTATCAAGTTAACCTTCAATTCATTTAACAAACTTATCACAAACTCTGATTGAAGTTATCTTTTTTTTTAACTGATTTTTTTAAACTTTATCACATTCTATCAGAAAATCCAAATAAATTACTAAATGGTGGAAAGAAAATGTTGGAAATGCATGACTAGCTTGAATGTTTATCTCCTGGTTTTAAAAGAGATAAAAGATCAGGTATGTGAGTCTCTCTCATTTTTGTATGATAAATAGATGATGGACAGGTGCCCAAGGATTGGAGATTTTTCATATATTTTCTTAAAGGAAATGATAAGAATTACTCTGTAAATTATAGTCCAAATAGTCTCATTTCTGTAGTGGGAAAAATTATACAGTCTGATAAAAGAAGTTATACAACATAATTTAGAAAAACATATCATAAAAGAGTCACCACATGGATTCACAATGGGAAATCTCTTTCAAATTTGTTAATTTTTTGAGGAAGTTACTTGTTACCTGGATGATGGAAAAGGTTAAATACCTTCCAGTGGTTCAGCAGTAAATCTGAAGATGTATAATGCTAAAAAAACAAAAACCCTCTTTTTTGTATTGTATTCTAAAGACAATAGGATGAGAAAGTACAAGCTTAATATCTAGAAGAGACAGGCTAAGTACAAGTTAAGACAATTTTATTTTTCTAACAGAATGATTGGTTTATGGAATGAGTTGCTGTTGACAAGGGTGGAGGCTGGCACTTTCCAAGAGTTTAAGAGGAGAAAAATATAGATTGGCAAGTTTATTATTATTTTTTTAAAGCTTTACTTTCCTTATAGGTGGTCTCCTATCTAAGAAAGGAGGATATTGACTTATTGGAAAGGGTTCAGGTGATGGAATGGTAGGGTTAAGATGTCTTATTTTCTATTGAAATAGTGCAATATGCTTTGTGTGTTTGTTATTACGCACAAAGCTACACAACAGATTACCTGTGCTGTGCCCATTACGGGTAATGAAACCTGGTTTTGAGCGCTACAACCATCATACTTATCACTGAGCTACTGGTGTGCAGATGGGTATGCACGGCCAATTTTGAAGGGCCAAATGATCCCTTATTCAATTATCCATATGTTATTTTATTTTTATACACTTAACAAACAGGCATCTATCGGTTTTACGTTTTTCACTATTACATCATTTAGGTATATATATATGTTCTCTCTTCAAAGTTCTATAGTATAACCCTACCTTAGTTTGTAACTAATACTAATAGCATTGTATTTCATAATTATAAAATAATAAGACAACTAATAGTATTACTAATATCATTAGCAGTAATAATATTACAAGACTGAGTAAAACTTTCAAAAGGAGCGTACATTGTAAGTGTAAATATATAATTTATTTAAATAATTCATTGACAATGACATTATAATTTATAATATGATTATTCATGCACAAAGCTACCTTTTTGCGAAAGTAATCTTAATTTTCGTAATTTTTCTTCCGTCTCTTCACATTTCTCCTTCCAGGATATTTCTTCGCTTTTTTTTGAATGACTAATAGGAGACGATATATCTTCTGTACCCGAAGTTTCACTCATTTTGATCAACTATACTTTTACTAATTGTAGTTAATTAGCCTAATACGCCTCCATGCCTCGCCCTTAAAAAACAAAAAGAAAATGTTACACCTAAACAACCTATTGACGACAAATGAAAACGCAATGTTACTGTACCAGTTGAAAATCTACATAAATTACGTGAATTGCAAACACGTTAAATAGAAATTATCACAATGTCTGAGAGGAAAGCAAAAATAAATATTTTATTTTGGCTGGTTCATCTTTTTTGTTGTTTTAATTACATTGTAATCAGAAAATAACTGTCGTTAATACAAAAGAAACATAACATAAATATTTTAAGAAATGATACTACTTTGTATAAAATTTAAAATGAATGTATATTTTAAGATCTTTATTTGTTCTATTTATTTCTTTGTGTTATGTATTTATAATTTTAAATAAGTAATTGTGCCAATAATCATACTAAATAAAGAGTATGCCAATATTTTCACGTTTTATCTAAACAATAATTAGTCTTGCAATTTATTAAGTAAAATAAATCTCACAGTTTCGAACGATATTAGTTTTCGTAAGCTAAACTAATTCAATGATAAAGAATGCAACATAACTGAGCAAATAATCTTTTGATACAAGAATACTTGTCAATATGTTATACTATATAGATGAAGAGATGTTCTCATAGACATATGTCTAATCAAAAACACCTTAGGTGTGGAAAAAAAAAGGTGTGTCCAAAAAAGGATTGACTTACAGGAACGAAATCAAAATTGGCGGCCAAACTGGTAACTACACTTATAGTGATAAGGATTTTACAGAAAATATTCATTCATTATGTTACGTCTCTGGTCGTTTGTTAATTTTTCGTAGAAATTATTTCCGAGAAACTTCGGCGATACAATTCCTTTCTTAAATAAAACTAGTTTATTCTTTCTCAACTCAACTTTGCAATACACTTAATTTCCACAGTCACTTTAACGTCAACACACGCTATAATTCACAACGAGTCACGCACTTTACTTACGGTCACTACCGCGCTTGACTCAATTGTCCGTCTCTATCTGTCTGCAATTGTATTATCTGATTAATTAATTTCGCTTTATCTGGCGCACTTACATTCAATAATAGAGGGCGCGTAGAAAAGATCAGAGTTGCCACGAACAGACATGATCCTTCTAGAATATCATAATGTGTTACTAGCGTCACGCTGTCGTAACAATTACTTAGCCAAGCCGCGTTTTTTGTTCAACTTAGCTCATGATGGGGACCAGAACCTGGAAACTTGAACTTCTTGTACAGCAGTCGAGTGGATTACCAACTAAGCTAAAGAGTTAACTCAAAAGCTGTCGCTAGTAAGGGCCTGGCATGGCCAGGTGGTTAGGGCGCTCGACTCCCAATCT